TCCTTGTTTACGTGTTGTAATATTCTTGTATCTAGGTTTTTCATGCTTATGTCTTTATGCAAATTAGGGGAGTGTTAACCAATCAGCATTAACCCCTAGAGGGTATGTGGTATTGTCAGTGCCCCTCATTATTGATTTACGGCGGGTGTTGGTGTGTTTGCTTTTCGCGTACCCACCCACCTACCCCAGCTGCTCCATGAGCTTTATTGATACTAATAAGCTATATATGTTTGATTATTTTACTTCTGCCATCTTTTGTATTCTTTTGTGATGATCATGAGATGTATCTGTTTTCATTGAAGTTTCCGTTATTGCTTATAATATTGTATTCAGGGTATCTTGTGCTTCCATTGGGTTACTCACTCTTTTATCCCTAGGGTTTTAATTCCTGGGGAATTTTCCCCCCAATACTTTTCTGTAATATTATTTACTTATCTGTTGATTATTTTACTGCTTTTGCTTTAATTTTTCTGTCTATTCTTGATTCTACTAGGCTCTCGAATCGCTCAGGAGTTTCGTCTTGCCAGCTCTTAAATCGCTTAAGTCTGGTGGTCAGTTTGCCTCTCTTGAATCGCTCAAGGCAAAGCTCTCTGCTTTTAAATCGCTTAAAAGCTTTCTTTACTACTTATATATATGAGTATCAGCTCTTGAATCGCTTAAGGGTTTGCTCTAGATATCTTCATGTATACTGTCTTGAATCGCTCAAGAATTTTCACTAGATATTTACGTTCGGCCTGTCTTGAATCGCTCAAGAGTTAATTGTCTGGCCTACTTAAAATATATTGCTGAGAATATTTTTTTTGTTTTTCCTTGTGGCCTCTTTCTTTGCTTAGGAGGCTACAGGTATATATACAGGACCACGGGGAACTAGCACACTTATAACATTACAGGTACATATACAGGCCCACAGGTTACTAATATACCTGTAACATTACAGGTATATATACAGGCCCACGGGGAACTAGCACACTTATAACATTACAGGTATATATACAGGCACACAGGGAACTAGCACACTTGTAACATTACAGGTACATATACAGGCCCACAGGTTACTATACACCTGTAACATTACAGGTATATATACAGGCACACAGGGAACTAGCACACTTATAACATTACAGGTATATATACAGGCCCACGGGGAACTAGCACACTTATAACATTTCAGGTACATATACAGGCCCACAGGGAACTAGCACACTTGAAACATTAAAGGTACATATACAGGCCAATAGGGAACTAATACACCCGTAACATTACAGGTACATATACAGGCCCACAGTTTACTAATACACTTGTAACATTACAGGTACATATACAGGCCCACAGGTTACATGCAAACTTGTCGCATATATAAACGTACAGGTTACTAGTACACCTGTAACATTACAGGAATATATACAGGCCCACGGGGAACTAGCCCACTTATAACACTACAGGTACATATACAGGCCCACAGTTTACTAATACACTTGTAACATTACAGGTACATATACAGGCCCACAGGTTACATGCAAACTTGTCACATATATAAACGTACAGGTTACTAGTACACCTGTAACATTACAGGTATATATCCAGGCCCACAGGTTACTAATACACCTGTAACATTACAGGTTTATATCGAGGCCCACAGGTTACTAATACACCTGTAACATTGCAGGTATATATACAGGCCCCCGGGGAACTAGCACACTTATAACATTACAGGTACATATACAGGCCCACAGGGAACTAGCAAACTTGTCACATATATAAAGGGACAGGTTACTAATACACCTGTAACATTACAGGTTTATATCGAGGCCCACAGGTTACTAATACACCTGTAACATTACAGGCATATATACAGCCCCACAGGGAACTAGCAAACTTGTCACATATATAAAGGTACAGGTTACTAATACACCTGTAACATTACAGGTTTATATCGAGGCCCACAGGTTACTAATACACCTGTAACATTACAGGTATATATACAGGCCCACGGGGAACTAGCACACTTATAACATTACAGGTACATATACAGGCCCACGGAGAACTAGCACACCTGTCACATATGTACATGTAAACGTACAGTTCACTTATACACTTGTAACATTACAGGTAAATATATAAACATACAGGTAACTAATACATTTGTAACAATACAGGTAAAAATATAAACATACAGGTCACTAATACACTTGTAACATTGCAGGTAAATATATAAACATACAGGTAATTAATACACTTGTAACATTACAGGTAGATACATAAATGTTCAGCTAACTAATTAATATTCTAGTAACTTTACAAAACAATGGCTCTGTTTAGTCAAATAATTGAAACGCAATATGTCATGCTACCAGAGTACTTTAGTAAAGTGAAAGTTGTGAGAGCTTATACACTTACATACCGGTAGTTGTTTGTCGACTAATCCCTACTGAAAACACTTTATTGTCTTGTACTATTTACAAGTAATATGGTAAGAATGGAGGATGGAAAAACAGTAAGTACGGACAGAAAAAAGCTTGAGCAAACACGTGGATTGGTCAATTAATTCACAGTGACAAGACTTACTCCAAACATCTCTAGTTCTGTAGTAAATAGCCAATTCAGTAGCCCTCTCTGGATAGTTTTCAGTAGTATAATGTTTTCTGAAGTGTATTGGTATAAAAACATGAATATGCAGGTCACTTACAATATCAGCTTAACCATGTTATACTACTGCTAACATACAAAGATAACATTACAGCTGAGCTGCATGGCCTGGTCAAGTACACAATTTATCACTTATGTAATCTTACAATAGTAATACAACAATTTTCTGTCGATGTTTTCTGTCGGTTTGTGTCACACATGTGTGATCTTTGTATCGATCTCTACCAAATACAGAAGGTATGTGATAAAAGCAAGACCACACACTTGTGTTTTTCTAACGAATCAGAAAGCACTAATTTATTGCACGGACGTATATATGTCCGAGCAAACTCATGCTTTCTGATTTGTTAGAAAAACACAAGTGTGTGGTCTTGCATATGTATCACACTATGTATCAGTGCATATTGATTCCCCACATACAAGTATAGCATATCTGTTACAGAAAGAGTATGAAGAAGGTAAGTCATTTTCTTTTTTCTGTGTTTATTTTGGGTTAAATCTTTGCAACAGCTACAATTGTCACCGAGAACTACTGTGCTATGTGGACCTCTTAAGGATGTCATCAAGTTTCCGTTTCTCAGCTTTGATACTGTTCATGAGTCATGACACATCCCTCTGACAACAAGGTACCTACTGAGACACACCCAAAAGACAAGTCCAGAGTTGTATTGGAAGGAGTAGATCAGCTCTTCTCATTATGCCATAAGCATAATATGCAAAAGTAAAATACCATTCTGGCAGTCCTCAAAGTAGCTGCCTCATCAAGTGTCAAGCATACCCTCAAAGTAGCTGCCTCATCAAGTGTAAAGCATACCCTCAAAGTAGCTGCCTCATCAAGTCTAAAGTATACCCTCAAAATAGCTGCCTCATAAGTGTAAAGCATACCCTCAAAGTAGCTGCCTCGTAAAGTGTAAAGCATCCCCTAAAAGTGCCTGCCTCATAAGTGTAAAGCATACCCTCAAAGTATCTGCCTCATCAAGTCTAAAGCATACCCTCAAAGTAGCTGACTCATAAAGTGTAAAGCATACCCTCAAAGTAGCTGCCTCGTAAAGTGTAAAGCATACCCTAAAAGTAGCTGCCTCATAAGTGTAAAGCATACCCTCAAAGTAGCTGCCTCATAAGTGTAAAGCATTCCCTCAAAGTATGCTGTCTCATAAAGTGTAAAGCATACCTTCAAAGTAGCTGCCTCATCAAGTGTAAAGCATACCCTCAAAGTAGCTGCCTCATCAAGCGTAAAGCATACCTTCAAAGTAGCTGGCTCATAATTGTAAAGTATACCCCCAAAGTAGTTGCCTCATAAAGTGTAAATCATACCCTCAAAGTATGCTGTCTCATAAAGTGTAAAGCATACCCTCAAAGTAGCTGCCTCATAAAGTGTAAAGCATACATAGTATCCTAACACAAGAAAGGAGCATGTGTCTTGATTTTATATCTATTTTATTATCCCCCTCTCAAGGAAGTTGGCCGGGGATATACAGACGCGGATCATCTGTTCGTCTGTTTGTCTATGATATACAGTTTCTGGAATATTACTCCAAACCCATCGAAGATAACTTCGGGAAACCTTATAAATGTACTAATAATATACGTAGTATTGTCTTTTGCTATTCAGCAGCTTTCATTTACTATGTTTTTTTTCTGTTACCATAGAAACACAGCTAAAACTGCCAAATTCACAGTTTCCGGGGCACACCTCCAAAAAAAGCATTGTGCGAACTCAACACCTTCAGTTTTGTTGCCCTGTGTGTTGGAGTGATTGAATACTGGCCTCTGATTGGTCTAAGCTTACATTCAGTCTGCCCATTAGTTCGTCCGGGAAATCAGATTTATATCGCATAACTCCAAAACTTTTCAAGATAACTTTGCGAAACTTTATACATGTATTGTACTAATGGTCTAGTAGTGCCTTTTGCTATGTTGCAGTTTTTTTCATACTACACTTTTAGCCCACCATCATCTGATGGTGTGCTATTCAAATCGCCCTGCATCCGTCGTACGTCCTTAAACAATTCTTGTTATAGCTATTTCTCAAGAAGTACTGGAGGGATCTTTCTCGAACTTTATAAGTAGGTAGGTTCCCCTTGGTCCTAACTGTGCAGGTTAACTTTTGAGACCGATCAGATAAACAAAATAGCTGACAGACAGCTATCTTGGATTTTGAAAGTGAAAGTTTGTTATGGATATAGATTTCTCAGAAAGTACTTGAGAGATCTTTCTCAAGTTTTTATATGTAGTAACCCCTTGGTCTGTAGTTGTGCATGTTTAATTTTGAGAATGATCAGATAAAAAGGCCGACAGGTTGCCTTCTTGAATTTTACAGTGAAGGTTTCTTATGGCTTTTTCTAAGTACTGGAGTGGTCTTTCTTAAATTTTATATGTGGGTTTGCCTTAATTGGTATGAAGTTGTGCTTGTTTTCTTATTAGACTGATTGGATAAACAAATCTTTGATTAGACAGTTAAGGTTTTTTAGTGCTATTTCCAAGGAAGTACTGGAGTGTTCTTTCTCAAATTCTATATGCAGGTTCCCCACTATCCTTTATTGTTCATGTTTACTTTTGAAACTGATCAAATACACAAAATGGCCGACTGGTGGCCATCTTCTATTTTTGACATTGAATGTTTGCTAGTACTATTTCTCAGGAATAACATGAGGGTCTTTCTCCAATTTGATATGTAGATTCCCCTTGATACCACCTTCTGCATGTTATATATTTTGAGACTGATCATAAAAACAAAACGGCCGAAGGAAGAACTAAACAGATCTTTCTCATATTGCAATGATCGGTTCTATTTCTTTCACATTAAGTACTGTACTAGTAAATATGTGAAATGACAAACTCACTTTGAAGTTTGTCTTTTATATACAACATTATTAAGTTTAGTTCAAAAGTTACCTCAAGGTGCATTTACTGTTAACTCATTCACCCCTGAACACACATTTGAACTCTTCCAATTCAAAGGTTGGAATAGTTAATTATGAAATTTCAGGGGTGAATGAGTTAACATGACTCGATCAAACAGGTTAGAGAAAAGAAGAGAAAAAATCGAATTAATGAAGATGGTACGATGGTGGGCGCCAACATCCCTCTGGGATTTCTTGTTTTCTGTTTCTATGGTAACACAAAGCAAAATACATTTTTGTGATTATAATGCTTAAAGTTTGTGATTTTTTTCACTGCAGAAAGATATTGAAATTTGTTCAAAGTCTAATTCCCTAATACTATGCTATGTTATGTTAATATTTCCCCATCTCCCCATTTGAAATTACATGTATATGTTAAATAAAGACAGGTTTAATAGTTGCTTTTATGTCAAGACGATCCCTTTGTGGTTCTAAACTGATGACATTGTCAGCATGTCACCATTTATGATAATTTTGTCATGGACACCGTTAACATGATAAATCTGTGCATTATATTTCAACTCTGATTTATTTAAGGTTATATGCAACATTACACATTATGTCTATGATATGTGTATGAGTTAGCTCTTAAGTAACTTTAAAATAACATCATCTTATAATATGTACACATATACACCTTTCAGATATGTTGTTAATAAACAAACACTCGGACAAAGGGGAAAACGCTCATAATTTATATGTATATCATCAAAGTCACATTAAAAAAGACAAAACCTCTTACAGGGCTGCAGTACGTTGATCCGTCCCAAAAAAATCTGGTTTTAGTAAATTAGGTCCAAAAAATCTGGTTTCAGTAAACAATGACCCATCCAAAACATCAGGTTTTAGTAAGCAATGCCCCGTCCAAAACATCTGGTTTTAGTAAGCAATGCCCCGTCCAAAACATCTGGTTTTAGTAAGCATTGACCTGTCCAAAACATCTGGTCTCAGCAAACAATGACCCGTCCAAAACATCTGGTTTTAGTAAGCATTGACCCGTCCCAAACATCTGGTTTTAGTAAACAATGACCCGTCCAAAACATCTGGTTTTAGTAAACAATGACCCGACCAAAACATCTGGTTTTAGTAAACAATGACCCGTCCAAAACATCTGGTTTCAGTAAACAATGACCCCTCCAAAACATCTCGTTTCTGTAAAATTGACCCTTCAAAAACACCTGTTTTCAGTAAACACTGACCCGTCTACAACAACTGGTTTCAATAAACAATGACCCATCTAAAACATCTGGTTTTAGTAAGCATTGAACCGTCCAAAACATCTGGTTTTAATAAGCAATGACCCGTCAAAAACATCTGGTTTCAGTAAACAATGACCCATCCAAAACATCAGGTTTTAGTTAGCATTGACCCGTCCAAAACACTTGGGTTTAATAAGCAATGACCCGTCCAAAACATCTGGTTTCAGTAAACAATGACCCATCCAAAACACCTGGTTTTAGTAAGCATTAACCCGTCCAAAACATCTGGTCTCAGTAAACAATGACCCGTTAGTAAGCATTGACCCGTCCAAAACATCTGGTTTTAGTAAGCATTGAATTGTTGAAAACATCTTGTCTCAGTAAACAATGACCCGTCCAAAACATCTGGTTTCAGTAAACAATGACCCGTCCAAAACATCTGGTCTCAGTAAACAATGACCCGTCCAAAACACCTGGTTTTAGTAAGCATTGAATCGTCCAAAACATCTTGTTTCAGTAAACAATGACCCGTCCAAAACATCTGGTCTCAGTAAACAATGACCCGTCCAAAACACCTGGTTTTAGTAAGCATTGAATCGTCCAAAACATCTTGTTTCAGTAAACAATGACCCGTCCAAAACATCTGGTTTCAGTAAACAATGACCCGTCCAAAACATCTGGTTTTAGTAAACAATGACCCGTCCAAAACATCAGGTTTTAGTAAGCATTAACCCGTTCAAACCATCTGGTTTCAGTAAACAATGACCCCTCCAAAACATCTCGTTTCTGTAAAATTGACCCTTCAAAAACACCTGTTTTCAGTAAACACTGACCCGTCTACAACATCTAGTTTCAATAAACACTTGCCTTTTCGCAGCTCCTGGTTTCAGTTAACAATATACCTTCCAGAGAACCTGGTTTTATTCATCTCTGATACAGTACTTCCGGAGTTAATGTTTTTTAGCTCACCTGGTCCGAAGGACCAAGGTGAGCTTATGCCATACCCCAGCGTCCGGCGTCCGGCAACTTTACACTACTAGTCATGAACAACTGAGCGGAATTTAACAAAATTTGGTGTGATGCAACCTTGGGTGAAGAAGAACTAATTTTGTATAAATGATGGGTCTTGCCCCCCCAGGGGCCTGAGGGGCAGGGCCAAAAAGGGAAATATGGCAAATTCTTCTTTAAAATCCTTCTTCTTCTGTAGAAATGAAAGGATTTGGTCCATATTTGGTGTGGAGCATCCTTGGGTAATGGGGAACAAATTTTGTATAAACCATGGGTCGGCTCACCAGGGGCCTGAGGGGCGGCCCAATAGGGGAAACAGCAAATTATTCTTTAAAATCCTTCTTCTTCTGTAGGAATGAAAGGATTTGGTCTATATTTAATCAGAAGCACTCTTGAGGAAAGGGGAACAAAGTTTGTATAAATGGTGGGTCTTGCCCCACTGGGGGCTGAGGGGCGGGGCCCAATACGAGAAACATAGCAAATTATTCTTTAAAATCCTTCTTCTTCTGTAGGAATGAAAGGATTGTTCCATATTTGGTTTGAAGCATTCTTGGGTGAAGGGGAACCAATTTTGTATACCCCGTGGATCTGGCCCCCAGGTGCCTGAGGGGCGGGGCCCAATAGGGGAAACATAGCAAATTATTCTTTAAAATCCTTCTTCTGTAGGAATGAAAGGATTTGGTCCATATTTAATCTGAAGCATCCTTGGGTGAAGGGGATCATATTTTGTATAAATCAGGGGTCTGGCCCCCCAGGGGCCTGAGGGGCGGAGCCCAATAGGGGAAACATAGCAAATTATTCTTTAAAATCCTTATTCTACTGTAGGAATGAAAGGATTTGGTCCATATTTGGTGTGGAACATCCTTGGGTAAAGGGGAACCAATTTTGTATAAACGGTGGGTGTGGCCCTCCTTTGACCTGAGGGGTGGGGCCCAATAGTAGAAATAGACGTAAATCTTCAATATCCTTCTTCTTCGGTAGGAATGACAGGATTTTGTCCATATTTGATCTGAAGCATTCTTGGGTGAAGGGCAACCAATTTTGTATAAACGGTGTGTCTGACCCCCCTGTAGGCAGAGAGGCGGGGCCCAATAGGGAAAGTAGAGGTAAAACCTTTAAAATCCTTTTTCTACCATAGGGATTAAGGGCTTTTTTCCTTATTTAGACTGGAGCATCCCTGGGCCAAGGGGACTCAATTTTGTATTAGCAGTTGGTGTGGTCTCCGAGGGGGGCAGAAGGGCGGGGTCCAATAGGAGAAATAGAGGTAAAATCTTTAAAATCCTTCTCCGACCATCGGGATTAAGGGATTTTATCCTTATTTAGTGTGGAGCATCCTTGGGTGACGGTAACTCAATTTTATATAATTGGTGGGTATGACCCCCGTAGGGGCATAGGGGTGGGGCTCTGTTTGAAGTTTGTTCTCTATATCTCAAGTACTGGATGGATCTTTCTGAAATTTCATATGTACTTACAGCACCTATCATGGAGTGCTNTTTGTTGAGTCGGTTTATTAATTTTGTTTTTGTTGTACCATTACCATGTGTCTAGTTCCGACTTCCGTCTAATGCAGTCACCCCGGAGTCGGCGTCCAAATTCACTGAGATTAAAGATTTTGGGCAAGTTCTTTTTTTCAGAAGGTGCTCGATCATCACACTCAATACACTGATGTCTATTATAAGATTGAGACATTATATGGAGTGTTAGCAATGTGCCGAACAATATTTTCGTATTTCGGGGGCAAAAAACAGCTTAATTGGACTAGGGTTTTAGTGATTGGGCAAGTTTTCTTTTGCATTGCTTGATCACCACCATCAATACGCTGTTGACTAATTCACGTTGTCTGGTCTGTTCTTTTGAAATACACAACATGTTAAGGTCCTCGTTTTATTGCCACCATTTGTTTAAAGAAATGCTGCCATTATAAAGGAGTTTGGCAATAAATTGTCGGAAAGTATAAAGTAAATCTTAAGAAAAACAGAATGAAGGGACCTTGAATATGTTGGTGATAAGCGAGGTGGCAACTAAAATGACAGACATTGTAGCGAGGTTTTAACATGTGTTCCTGCTGATATATCACCAACAGGCGAGCTTTTATGTTCTCCAACAGCTTTTGTTTTTAACTTCGAATGTATTTTAACGTCATTTGCCGGGCAATGTTTTAGCGATGCATATACGTCTTCTGTACGTTAGTTTCATTCGCGTTCGTAATTGTGTTTCATTTGTTAAATTTTAGGTGAGAAGGATATCAAAGCATTGAGGGATGATGTCTCCATTGTAACTCACAATATCAGTTGCACTATGAAGTCGGTCATTGAGGGAACCAAACAGTGTAATACATTACAGCAAGGTTGGTTAATAACCAAAACCCCAAAAAATGTATGTCATATCTCTTTGCCAGTGTCTGTCACCAACCCCTATATATATACAATCTACTTATCCAGAACCGATGAATGACTTCCGACTAGATCGGTTTATGGAGAATCCCTTAGTCAAAATGACACATTGTTTATAAATATATGGTATACTTTTCTTGAGGCACAAGGTTGAGACCATATATGGGAAATTGAGGTAGATATGTTTTAAATACGTTTAATATTGATTTTACGCCCAATAACAAGAAATAGATGTTAATCTTTCAAAAACTAATTTGGTGGGGACAAATGGATTAAATCCTTCTTTGACTTTCATCAAGTGTTGTTTTATTTTGGATTAATTTCCATTCAATGATTGCTGCCTGTCCTCTGATAGGATGTTCAAATTCTCATCGAGATCCATACGGTCAGAGACAACCAAACACGATGTGAACAATGCTCAAACCTGCTGGATTCATTTCAATCAAACAAAAGTTCCGGTTATTGTCCTTCACTATATTTTTTTAGGTCAGTATAAAAAACTTTATTGGTAGCAATGGTCTGTGAAATCATTTCAATTTGTTGTTAAAGTGGCTTGAATATATACTACTCAAATTTTGCTAAGGATCACCTATATTTTGAAAAAGAAAATCAAAATGTTAGAAAAGATATTTTATTTTCCTTCCGTACTGTTTTGGGCAAATATTTTAGCCTTCCAAATCGTCCTGTGTGAATGTGTTCAGTTAACCATAAAAGCGAGTACACGCTTTTCCACGTGTACACCCCTTTCCAAGGCTAAGCTACATTATGTAGGCTAATAAGGGCGTTGTTCAAATTGTTAATGAAATCAATTTGATGAATATTCTTTGCGTGTTTTTGTTTTAATATGACACAAAGACGAACCAGACAACGTTAAAATGACGGTGAAAACATTCGGGGAATAGGAATGCTGCAAACTAGCATGTCTCAACGTCAGGTTGCAGCAGACCTTGGGGTGTCTCAAAGGTGGTGGCAAGAATGTGGAATCGTTTCCAAGCTAACGGAAACCCTTCCATGCTGGATGTCGTTCTAGGGCTACAACGCAGCGACAAGATTAATTTTTGCTCATACAGGCACGGTGTCACAGGTTCCAGACTGCCACAGCTTTAAGAAATGACCTCCTAAATGCTTCTGGTACCCGGATAGCCACTCAGACAGTTAGGAATCGTCTTTATGATGCTGGTTTAAGGTCACGTGGACCAGCAATACGAGTTCCTTTAATTGTCCGCCATGTTAGGGACTTATTAGATTGGGCCCAAGCTCACAGCACTTGGACTCTTCAGAAATGGGAACCGGTTCTTTTTACTGACGAGTCAAGATTCTGTCTCGACTTCACCGACAAGCGCGTTATAGTATGGCGACAACCTGGGGAGAGGTTCCAGGCAGGTTACGTTGTAGAACATGACCGATAGGGTGGAGGTTCAGTGATGGTGGGGGGAGGCATAGGCCTTCGTGGGAAAACTGACCTCCATGTCTTCCATAATGGTACCGTTACGGCCCGGATTTACTTCGATGAAATCCTTGATGCCTATGTCAGACCCTACGCTGGTGCTATCGGCCCTGCCTTCATCTTTATGGACGACAATGCTAGGCCACATAGAACAAGGGTGACTGAGCAGTATCTACAACAAGAGACTATTCAACGAATGGATTGACCAGCCCGCTCGCCGGATCTATATCCAATCGAGCATGTGTGGGACATGCTTCAGACAGCTCTCTCTGCCAGAAATGTTTAGCCAAGAACGCTCCAGGTGCTATGAATAGCTTTGGTAGCTGAGTGGAACGCTATCCAACAAAACCGGATACGCGATCTCATTCGGGGCATGCGCATACGTTGTGAAGCTGTAATTGATAGTCATGAGCGTCACACTCGATGCTTAAACAGTTTCTGTTTATTAAAGATGAGTTTTGTGCAATTTCAGTTTTTTAGTGAATACCTCATTGTTACCAATTTTAAGAGTAACCCTTTTCCTGTGGCTCATTTTCCAGCTGTAATTACGATTTTTGGAATTTTTGCATGCTGATGAATTAAAAGAACAATCAATTTTCAAAAATAATCTCAGTATAAACCAAATAAAGTATTTATTTTCACATATGCCCAAAAATAAAAGTGATCCTTAGCAAAATGTGAGTAGTATATATAGTTCATATAATTTTTTCCTTAAATTTAATGTATGCCAAGCATGGTGCGAGTATATCAAATAGTACAATGAATATAAGTTGAGAACAGGTTAACATTTTGCAATAATATGTGTATCCCAATTGAACCGGGCCACTTTGCCGTCATTGTGGCGATAGCATTAACTTCCCTTGGTCCAGTGGTCGGGCTCGAGGCCATCAAAAGATGTGAATGTTCCAGATAACAGTTCCCCGAGGTAGGGTTAGGGTTTAGCATGGCATCACCTTGATTGTGTAAATGGTTATATAATGGTGACTTGGAATATTTTTCATTCACTTTTTGGAAGATTTGATTCCCCTTGTCCCAGGTAACCAAGAGCACAGTGGTCAAATCACTAAATAGCTTATGAAGGAAAAGGAATTGAAGTATTTTACATTATTTTGTTTTCTTGATCTGGCTACACTACTTTCAGGGATGAAAACTATCTGTTAATACTTCAAGATTGAATCAAACTCGCCAAAGTATGCTCTAGACAAAATTTAATCAAAATTTACTAGATCGTTTTTGCCTATAAGACAGACGAATGCCCAGTCATGGCATAACCAGTCAACAATACAGGCCTAGTGGGGTTATTTCGATTCTAATCGATATTTATGACGTCTCAAGGGTTGTTATTACATATGTTTTTCGTGTTTCCATGCATGTATTAAAGTCATAAGACGATAAATGGATTTTTGTTTGAATTTGATATTCAAAAAAGTGTTTCTGAACGATAAAAAAAATACATAAAAATGTCGCTACCTCACTTTTAAACCTGCACATCATCATCGTGTCAAATTACATAATTGATGCATCCTTAAATTATCCTCATCATCAGGTCATCATACCAACATCATTATAATCACAACCATCATAACATCAGCATGTAATAATCCCAGCATAATCAACCATCATCTACACATACTGTTTAGACATCCAACGCGAAAGTCATACACGCTATAACAAAAGCATTTACACCGACGAATTTAGATACTGCACATAATACTAATAGAAGTTCACTTCTTCACACTTTCACTAATACCCACCTTCAGATACACCCTAATTTTAAAACATAAAATGTGATTTGTTTGGTACCAGAGGTGGCCAGTTATGTGTTGATATGCAAAGACATTCACCAGGCTGTTCGTTACAAACAGGAGGAGTATGACCTGCAGAAAAGGTAACATAAGAAACGAGCCACTTTATATGCACGTATCAATGCAGGTATAAAGTTCAATACAATCTTGTTCTGAATTGTAGGACTAAAACTCAGTATGATTACTTGTATTTCTGTAACTGAGTAGCATACTATTTTTTCAGTAGACGAAAGAGCATATTAGTATTTCAGAAAACGCAGTAGCATACCAGTATTTCGGAAAACGCAATAGCATACCAGTATTTCGGAAAACGCAATAGCATACCAGTATTTCGGAAAACGCAATAGCATACTAGTATTTTTGAAAACGCAGCAGCATACTTATATTTCAGAAAACGCAATAGTATACTAGTATTTCAGCAGATAGCATACTACTTTTTCAGTATATGTGGTGGCATAACGCTCTTTCAGTAAACGCATTGGCTTAATGGAATTTCATTACATGTAGTAGCATATTAGTGTAATTTTTAATTAACTGTTCACCAAAAAAACAAAGACCACCTTGGTGCTTCAATCTGGACGTCAGTATTACCCATTGCTCTTTGTTTTGACATTTCTACTGTAGGAAGATTGAAAGTTATCAAATGAAAATTGCCGACTATATACGTACGGTAGCCCAGCAGGAGAACCAAAGTGACACCATGATTGAACTTCGGAATCACGTAGATGACGTACAGAGGCTGCATGAAAAAAGTAACGTGGTTTCATGTTAGACGAATTATTCAATTCATTTTAATGTTCAAATATTTCAATAATATCAAATTGAAAGATTTCTTAAAATGATACATTGCAACATGATGTCGATTTTTCAATCTACTATAAGAAAATTCACCGCTGTCCTAATAACCTGATTTACAACTAAGTGAATGCAGTTACTATCCTGATAAAGGAATTAGATCATGGCTATATTTTTTTCTCTCCAGAGGCAGAAATTGAATTGAATAAAGAGGAGTTTATGAATTTGATGAACGGGACATCAGATAGTCGGGTCACTGATAACATAACGTATCTGACGGGAGAGATGGAAGGGCAGGCAACAGGTGTTGAAGATAAGGCTAAACTGGTACTCATAGCACTTCTAAACATTTTTAATTTGGAATTAACTTTATTTTAAAGACGACCTTGAATAAAAGATAGTTATATTGGTGTTTTGTTATCTCCCTTTAATCAAACAGAGTTTCGAATTTAAAAGGGTCTATGAGGTACCATGTGCTTCTTCATTTTCTTTTTATTTGTATTATCTTTCTCTTTCTATGCAGATTGACGATTTACGGAATCAGCAAAGACTTCTTGAACAGTCCATCCTTGTTTTACATGTAAGTTCATACACGTTTTATAGGGCTTAACGTCCTATCAACAGCTAAGATCATACACATTTTATAGGGCTTAACGTCCTATCAACAGCTAAGATCATACACGTCTTATAGGGCTTAACGTCCTATCAACAGCTAAGATCATACACATTTTATAGGGCTTAACGCCATATCAACAGCTAAGATCATACACATTTTATAGGGCTTAACGTCCTATAAACAGCTAAGATCATACACATTTTATAGGGCTTAACGTCATATCAACAGCTAAGATCATACACGTTTTACATTATGTATAGGGTTTAACGTCCTATCAACAGCTTAGATCATACACGTTTTATAGGGCTTAACATCCTTTCAACAGCTAAGATCATACACATGTTATAGGGCTTAACGTCCTATCAACAGCTAAGATCATACACATTTTATAGGGCTTATATGATGATGAGCATTTATATGATTATGAGCTTTTAATCAGGCCTCAGACCACAAATACAATTCCGGGGGTCGTTGTGCATAAGGACATTTCAGGTCAGTTACTAAATAGTTTTTCCTGTCTGATCTATGACAGATTTGTACAGTTTTTAATTGTTCAACAATATCTATTCTAGTTATTCCATTTTTTTTGACACAGTTTTCATATTTGTATTTGCAGCAGGACACAATGTGTTATGAGGCTTGCGCAGTGATATTTTGTGATTTTGGGTATTTTCCCTATATATGCAGGGTAGTGACATTCAAATGAAATTATCTTTCTTAAATGCCGGTCATGAGGTACTTTCAGCTCACTGTATGTTCAGTTTGAATAGACCTACAATATGAAATAGGAGCCAGACCCTGGGCAAAGTTTTAAAATATTTTAATTTCATTTTTCCTTTGGTAGTAACATATAGTAAAATTAATTATGGTCTGAGGCCATCAACTTTTTTTTTTATTTCAAATTCAACAGACCCAAGGGTCCACTTACAGAATGGATAACAACATTACAACACAAGTACAAAATATCACAGTCAGTTATGCATGTAACAAAGACTAAAAGGTACTTGAACTCGGCGAGAGAGGAACGAAAGATATCACAGTCAGGTGCAAAATCAAGATAGTTAAAATTGCATTGAATCCTGTTTAAAATACTATACTTTCTAATATTTATTCTACTTCTCTGGCAGTAAAACTGGTTGAAACGAATTGATCGTAGATCACGACCAGGGACTAAAAAAAAACACATTTGCTTGACTAAATATGGACAATCAAAAGCACTTTTAACACATTTGTAAAGAAATACACATTCTAAAAATGTCCGCCTATGTTCGAGGCTAGGAAGATTAAAATGCCTACAAGAGTCAACGTAAGACATGGAAGTGTAGTCAACGTGTGCCTTAAAACATAAAATTTTCAAATAATTACTCTGGACAACTTCGACCTGGTGAATTAAAGATGTTTGGTAAGGAGACCAGATCTGACAACAGTACTCTAACTGACTCCTGACAAGACATATATAAAGACCTTAAAACAGGTATTTGTATAAAACTTTTACATGTACGTTTTATAAAACCGAGCATTCGCATTGATTTGGAAACAATACGTCTAATTTGGGTAGTAAAACTCATTGAAGAGGTGAGCCAAACACCAAGATCTTTCACACACATTTCATTCTTCAGGTTCTTACCGTTCATAGTGTGATTAAAATTCATACATTTCAAACATTAGTATAAGAAAATTTCATAATAGATGGCAATTCATTGATAAAAACAAGGAAAAGTTTAGGTCCAAGTATCGAACCTTGAGGCACACCGGAAGTTACATCACACCAACCGGATGTTGCCCCGTTGGCAGAAACACGCTGGAATCTGTCTTTCAAATAAGTAGTAAACCAAACTAAAATGCAACCTTCTACACCATACAATTTTAACTTATGCAATAATAATCTGTGGTTTACTTTTTCAAATGCCTTTTCAAAAATCAGTATATTCTACTTTTATTCTACTATTCCGATCACTTTCCGTCCGTCGGTGTCCGTTGTCCGTCGTGCGTAAACTTTTACATTTTCAACTTCTCAAGAACCATTGGATGGAATTTTTCAAACTTGGTCAGATTCATCCTTGGTAGCAGAGGCTACAAAATTGTAAAATTGGGATTCCTACCCCAACCCCTGGGGCCAGGGTGGGGCCCCAAAGGGAAAATTAACCAATATTTCAAAAATCTTCTCCTCCAGACTCAGTGGTACTACAGTCATTTTCTCTGCATGGATGGAAAGATCATCAGTGGCTTTATTTAAATTGTAAATTTCAGGACCCCTGAGCTATCCGTTCTCCCTTAGGGAGGGTGTAACTTTTCTTTAGTTTATATAGGGAATCAACACTTTTGGGTATATTTTGACAATTTTCTGTAGGAAATATTCTTACTTGGTGAGAACTATCCTTGGAAGAGGATGGTTTTAAATTGTAAAATTGGGATTCCTACCCCAACCCTAGGGGCCAGGGCGGGGCCCCAAAGGGAAAATTAACCAATATTTCAAATATCTTCTTCTCCGGACTCAGAGGTACTACAGTCATTTTCTCTGCATGGATGGAAAGATCATCAGTGGCTTTATTTAAATTGTAAATTTCAGGACCCCTGAGCTATCGGTCTCCCTTGGGGAGGGGGTAAATTTTACTTTAGTTTATATAGGGAATCAACACTTTTGGGCATATTTTGACAATTTTCTGTAGGGAATATTCTTACTTGGTGAGAACTATCCTTGGAAGAAGATGGTTTTAAATTGTAAAATTGGGATTCCTACCCCAACCCTAGGGGCCAGGGCGGGGCCCCAAAGGGGAAATTAACCAATATTTCAAAAATCTTCTTCTCCAGACTCCGAGGTACTATAGTCATTTTCTCTGCATGGATGGAAAGATTATCAGGGGCTTTATTTAAAATTTAAATTTCAGGCCCCCGAGATATCCGTTCTCCTTGGGGAGAGGTTAAAGTTTACTATAGTTTATATTGGGAAACAACACTTTTGGGCATATTTTGACAATTTTCTGTAGGAAATTTTTCTTACTTGGTGAGAATTTCCTTGGAGAAAGATGATATTAAAATGTAAAATTGGGATTCCGACCCCAACCCTAGGGAAATTTTACCAATATTTCAAAAATCTTCTTCTACAGACTCGGAGGTACTACAGTCAATTTCAGTGCTTGGATAGAAAGATCATCAGGAGCTTTATTGAAATTGTCAATTTCAGGACCCCTGAGCCATCCGTTCCCCTTGGGGAGGGGGTAAAGTTTATTATAGTTTATATAGGGAAATAACACTTTTGAGTATATTTATCCATTTTCAGCAGAAAATTATTCAAACTTGGTCAAACCAGGGGCTAGGGCGGGGCCCCAAAGGGAACATTTACCGATATTTTAAAATTGTTATCCTTTGATGACATGACAAATATTGTATTTCACTTAGTTTATATGCTGATTTCCATATCACATCTAAACAATGAAATATAGCTACCAGTACCTATGATATAACTCAGGTGACCGCTATGGCCCTTGGACCTCTTATTTATCAAAGGCTTCGGAAATCTGATCGGTAAAACATGCAAGGTTTGAAACAGTAGACCTTTTTGGCATAAAGCCATGTTGCTCATCGCAGATAAGCGAATTTATAATATTAGAAAAATGTACGTCAACCAGTTTTTCAAAATCTTCAGATATAATTGGTAGTAAAGATACTGGTCTGTAATTAGAGACTTCATTACGTTTACCAGATTTGAAAATGGGAATAACATTAGCCCTTTTAAAAATACTTGGAAAGATACCATCTTTCAATGAACGGTTGTATATGTTACACAGTGGTACACATAACTCATCAGCACACTTTTTAAAAACTACGCCAGATATGTTGTCGTAGCCACAAGGTTTTTTTTAACTTCTATTTGTGTAAGTGCCTTCTGAACATCATTACAATTCAAAACAATTGTGCTTAGCGGGCAGTCAAATTCATTTTTTTACATATATTTGAGGAAGATCACAATCGTCTTCTATACAGAACACACTTTTGAAAAAAGCGGTAAACATATCTGCAGATTCAAAACTGTTGGAAGACGACGATGAACAATCTGAAACAGAGTCCGAGTCATTGATTTGGTTGGTGCCATAGTTGTTGCAGGAAGCACACTTCCGCAGAAGCTGGTTGATCATCAGTTATTTCGTGTTGGTTGATGATGTCATTCCTTTTGTTTCTGTGTTCCCTCGGTTCTTATGGTCTGTTTATGTCGACATTGAGTATTGATTTCATTCTGATGTATTTTTTTTCTGTATAGAAGCGTAACGCGGCCCAGCTGACTCGCCTAAGGAGACAACTAAAGGAGGTCTCAAGCCGTAGGAGGCGCTGGAACGACCAGGTCTCACAGCTTGAAAACATCATGACCGACCTCAAACAACAACTCCAGCAATAGTCTGGTACAGTCTTGCTTCTTCATAACAAACTTCGATCTTTCGTCGTATTGTACACTATTTATAGTACGCTGGCAGTGATGGATGAAATTCAAGAACACTGACCCAAATTATCATCGGACGTAAAAAGACTTCTGAGACAAATTGGAATGAAATTCAAAATCATGGAGACAAAAGAAACATCGAGCCAGACGGGTAAAATTAGAATAAAGAACAAAGAGACAAGCCGTTTATCTCAATTTGTATTCATTGTAATGTTCTTTCTGTTACTCGTTACTTTGACAAAAGGAAATTAGACTTATAAGTAGATATGACTGTTTGGCATACCGGTGTTATGTTTGTCGCAAGTAATTCTTTCTATTTGTCGTTACTAGATTCGACTGTAAATAAATGTGTGTTTGGCGTATACGTAGTGGAGTTGGATTTGTCGTAAGGGAACATGTCTCTTTGCTCTGTACCACTATATCTAAAATTGTGAAGGAAGAATAGTGTAAATGCTTAGAATTCCAATGGTATGATATGACTTACAGAGTCATTTCCAGTTTTAAAAATTCGTAACTTAAGTTAGAGAATGTTAAGTTCCTACGTACATTATATGTATAGAAAATGTTTTGTGCAATTAGTTGAATTTTTGTTTATAAATACATTGTCACAAACACTATAAAAACACTATTATTCATTTATTTTAATTATGCTTTGTGGATTAGAAACATGTTTTTGTAACAATGATATTGTCAGAAAAATATTTCTTTTTGTAATCAGAAAGAAAACAGCCTTCCTTCATGTATTTGTTTATGTTCCTCAAACAAAGAAGTAGGAGAAGGAAGTACTACCGTGATGGTTTCACTGTGACTCATTGTTGTGCTCCCTAATATTCGGGATAAAAAGAGGTTTTGGTCCGAATTTAATATCAATTTTATTTCAGCATTTCTGTCTAGAAGGTAACTTCTCGGACGCGATGGAATTGATGAGCATGTGAAGCTCAGCGCTAGTTATTTTTATTTAGTATTGAAGATGGTGGAATTGCCCTGTGCGAGGCTAAGGTATAACTTTTGTTTTGATGAATCTCAAATTAATACTAAAAAAAAAATGTAACATCTCGGGTTATATGTGTTGGAAATATAATGCCAAACTATCTGACTGGTTTATACATTCAATCTATAACTCAGATTTCGTTGGAGAAAATGGAGAAAATATCAAATGTGACTGCATTCTAGCTGCTGATTTGATGATATCAGACTGCTTCGGAACAACTAGCTACAATCTATTGAATCTACTCTAACTTCATAACACCTCCGGGCTACAATGTATCAAATATCCTTTATCTCCGAGCCACTTCCGAGCTACAATAAATCAAATCTATTTTATTTCCAGAACACCTCATGTCTACAGTATAAGCTCACCTGCCCGAATGGCAAGTGAGCTTATGCCGCAGCGTCCGTCGCCCGTCGTCGTGTGTCGTCAACTTTTTCTTTCTCCTCCTAAACGCCAAAGAGGAATTCAACCAAATTTAGTCTGAAGCATCACTAGTGTAGGGCTCTCATTTCTTAAATAAATGAGGTTGGGTCGACCCCTATGGCCATGGGGCGGGGCCCTGAAGGGGAACTTAGCTAAATTTGCTTTAAAACGCATCTCCTCCTAAACACCAGTGAGGATTTCAACCAAATTTAGTCTGAAGCATCACAACGGGAGGGCAATTATTTCTTAGATAAATGAGGTTGGTTTGACCCCTGAGGCCAGGGGAGCGGGGTCCTGAAGGGGAACAGCTTAATTGCTTTAAAACGCATCTCCTACTATACGCCATTGAGGATTTCAATCAAATTTAGTCTGAAGCATCACAAGGGGAGGGCAATTATCTCTTAAATAAATGAGGTTGGTTCGACCCCTGAGGCCATGGGGACGATGCCCTGAAGGGGAACTTAGCTAAATTTGCTTTAAAATGCATCTCCTCCTAAACACCAGAGAGGATTTCAACCAAATTTAGTCTGAAGCATCAGTAGGGATTGGCAATCATTTCTTTAATACATGAGGTTGGTTTGACCCCTGAGGCCAGGTGGGCGGGGCCCTGAAGGGGAACTTAGCTAAATTTGTTTTAAAACGCATATCCTCCTAAACGCCAGAGAAGATTTCAACCAAATTTGCTCTAAAACTTCACTGGGAGAGGGCAAACATTTCCTTAATAAATGAGACTGGTTGAACCCCTGGGGCTAGAAAGACCGGGCCCCAAAGAGGAAAAGTATCTAATATTTTGCTTTAAGACGCTTATTTCCCCTAATTGCCTGCAAATATTTCTTTATTGAATGAGGTTGATTTGACCCCTGCGATCCTAAGAAATGGTACAGCTAGATTATCATATTCTATGGTGTAGTTTTTATAAATTGTTAACAATTGGTTTCTATATTAATAAAAGCTTATAGTTGAATAAAAAATAAAGTATCGTCTAATTACACCCTGTAATATGACATATTACTGTTTTCAAAATCTGTTAACATGGCAACTCAATGGAGGCCCTTGATTAGTTGAAAGTCAGATATTGTGGTCCCAGTTGGGTTAGAACATAGATCTTGTCTGGATTTGTGGAAATTTCATATAAAAATGTACTAATGCATTCAGTTGTAATGACTTAAATATAAAACCAGGTGAGCGATACAGGTCCGATGGACCTCTTGTATTAAATCTATTTTATCTCTTAAACACCTCCCAGCCACATTGTCTTTTAAGTACTTTTTTCCGGATCACCTCTGGGTTGCAACGTATAAAATAAACTTTATCTCCGGATTACCTCCGAGTTACAATGTATTAAACCTTCTCTGTCTTTGGAACACCTTCAGGACACAATATATTAAATCAACTTGATCTTTCGAACAACTTTCTGTTGCAATGTATTAAATTTTCTTTATTTCTGGATAACCTTCGGGCTGCGGTGCAATAGATCTGCTGGATCTTCGGAACACTATATAGATATTTTGAGAGTTGCTAGTTTTTCAGTTTATCATGTTTTTAAAGGATTATGATCAAAAACAGATTTATTATAGAATGACTAGGTTCGTTTGTAAAATGGTATACCCGGTTAGAATTTAACGGCCCGTCCAGAGAGTTGGATTTAGCCGAACTAATCTCAGTTACACGTTTCAATGTTAGACAATAGACATGGACGAATTTACAACCATATAAATAGATCAGGGCATGAAATTCGTTTATAAAGTACATAATAACTTAATCCATATATATAACAGAAGCTTAGTTATACGTGGGTAGGTGTTGTTATTGCATCTATAATCAGAGTATAATTCATATTTTGGTGTATTATACATTACCTGTTAGTATCAGCTATCGTTCCAAATCACAGTGATAAAGTTTTAATCGATAGTCATGCTAATTGATATTTTGACTATAATATTTCATTTTTGAAAAATGAAAATATTGTCTTGTTGCCATTTATTTGTATGTTTTTGCAAATATTGCATTGTAGCTTACATTTATTTGTATGTTTTCGTAATCAGTGGAACAATACACATTTCGCTGTTGCTTTATTGAACAACGGACATATTTACATGAGGAAAATTATGATATAAATGCATGAAGTTGAATTAGAAAAAGAGCAAGATAAAAGAAAAAGAAAAATTTGAAGAATAAGGCAGTATTTATTATATCCATATAAATAAGTTACATTGTACATGATAGATTTGCTCGAGAAAAGATATCGAAAAAGAATAAAGCAAATGGAGTTCGTTGCCGCTTATGTTTTCAAACCTAGCAATAAACTTTGCATCTAGAGATATACAGTCTTAATAACATCGAACTATATAATACAATCATGTTACATTTTCAATAAATCTTTTACGTCTACAAAGAACATTTTGAACACTCGTTTGCATTACAAGTGAAGCTACTGTACACAAATTCCACATGATAGATACTCCAAAAGAGCTTTTCAATTACTTTTGTCTTTGTGGGCGTTGCTGCTGCTGACGTCATACTGCTGATGAGGCTGGATTGCATCTTAGAAAAAAATCAGGATTCTTGCCCACTTCATGTTGATAGGACTATTAGGTGTGGTTCTGTGACAGGGGTGGTGTATCTGTGCAGTTAGGAGGAGCAAGTGGTGTTCAGACACCTGAAAGAAGCAAACAGGGGCAACGTAAGTACACACCAATGTGGTCAGGGTTTTTCACATCATTTTGTAAGGTTAGTGAAAGCGTTTGTATTTTAAGGCCCTCTCCTTGCTCAGAAAATACTTTTCTGTAATTAGCCAAAAAAAATATCATTTTGATTCTGAGATATTTCAAGGCGAAATGGTTATATTGGAAACATTTTAAACGTCAATCATAAAAATTCTGGTCATTACTCATACTTTTTCTTATCGTTTCCAAATTCAAAAACATGTTGTTTTGGTGGGATTTTATTTGTCTTAAGAACATCATTTTTTTGTAACATTGATAAGTAATGATTTGTTCCACTTCATGAGGAATTTTGGTTGACGTTATCATTTTCAACGGTATTACGATTCAGTACCAGTGCTACTTTGTATATTTTAAATACAACAACTGATCGCGTCACTGATGATGGCAGTTATCTATGTTATGGGGTGGATGTATTTGTTGTTGTATATCAATTAGTCTATGACCAGATTTTGGGAGAAATTTGAAAGATTATGTCCATGGTCTATTTAATGTAAGATATGGAAATGTATATTCTACCGACAATATAATTCGGACAACAACAACCTCAACATTGCTAAATGTACTTTTGGCCTAAGGTGTTAGATAAATAATTGGAGGATGTGAGGGAGTTGCTTTGATGATGTCATTGAATGAATTGGTGAAATAGTTATGGTGATAATGACTTGGGTTATGTACACACAGGCAAGTTAACAATCACACATCTTTTCCAGCTGAAATATACAATATACTCGATACGGTATTGATTTCGTGCCCTAATATTTGTGCGTTCTTATAAAAAAAAAATCCAAATAAGCCCAGCGTTTTTAATTTTCTACGCTTATGGTTTTAACTTTAATTAAAAATTTTATTAGACGTGTTGAATTTGCTGATTTTGATGACCTCGAAAACTGTTAAAAAACAGTACCGCAAAAATAAACTGCACAAAGTACCACGGAAAAAAACATTTGATGAGGTTTTTTTATTAAATAAGAAATGTAGCCCTAACTCGAACGGACCTTTATAAACGTGATGATTTTATAATGATTTATTGTTTTATACTTACATGGTAGTCTCAAAACTTAAACATGATTAAGCTTACTATAAAAATGGATCTGTTAATATGTTTTTCAGCTGGATAACTTTCACATGTGTTCGTGTACACCCTATAGAAGATATATAAGATATTGTCGGTATATCTATCAATTACTACGTGAAAAGATAAATGCCTGAACTACGCTAGAACGGTTTTGATAAAGGCATGGTCAAGAACTGTAGTCAACATGACATTTCTGAACAACTGTCACCCGTCCAGCTACTCGTGCAATTCGGTTGAATAACTGTTGATAATTGTATGTACCGAATGTACTCGTCGATTGATTGGAAATAGATCCAATCGATCCGTTCTAGCACACGTCATAGACCCCATGTAAGCTAACAATCCATCGAGAGGAGCTTTTCGTGAAATAATGCGACAATGTAAAGTATAACGTACTTCTACACATTGCCACAATGTAAAGTAAAACGTTCTTCTACACATTGCGACAATGTTAAGTATAACGTTCTTCTACATATTGCGACTATGTAAAGTATAACGTGCCACAATGTAAAGTATAACGTACTTCTACACATTGCGACAATGTAAAGTATAACGCACTTATACACATTGCGAAATTTAAAATATAACGTACTTCTATACATTTCGACGATGTAAAGTATAACATACTTATACACATTGCGACTATGTAAAGTATGACGTGCCACAATGTAAAGTATAACGTACTTCTACACATTGCGACAATGTAAAGTATGACTTACTTCTACACATTGCGACAACGTAAAGTATAACGTACTTCTACACATTGCGACAACGTAAAGTAAAAAGTACTTCTACACATTGCGAAATTTAAAATATAACGTACTTCTATACATTGCGACAATGTAAAGTATAACGTACTTCTACACATTGCCACAATGTAAAGTATAAAGTACTTCTACACATTGCGACAATGTAAAGTATAACGTTCTTCTACACATTGCCACAATGTAAAGGATAACATACTTCTACACATTGCGACAATGTAAAGTATAACGTACTTATACACATTGCGACAATGTAAAGTATGACGTACTACTACACATTGCGACAATGTAATGTATAACGTACTTCTACACATTGCCACAATGTAAAGTATAACGTACTTCTACACATTGCGACAATGTAAAGTATGACGTACTTCTACACATTGCGACAATGTAATGTATAACGTACTTCTACACATTGCCACAATGTAAAGTATAACGTACTTCTACACATTGCGACAATGTAAAGTATAACGTACTTCTACGCATTGCCACAATGTAAAGTATAACGTACTTCTACACATTGCCACAATGTAAAGTATAATGTACTTCTACACATTGCGACTATGTAAAGTATAGCGTGCCACAATGTAAAGTATAACGTCCTTCTACACATTGCGACAATGTAAAGAATTACGTTCTTCTACACATTGCGACAATGTTTAGTATTACGTAATTCTACACATTGCGACAATGTAAAGTCTAACGTACTTCTACACATTGCGACATTGTAAAGTATTACGTTCTTCTACACATTGCGACAATGTTTAGTATTACGTACTTCTCCACATTGCGCCAATGTAAAGTATAACGTACTTCTACGCATTGCCACAATGTAAAGTATAACGTACCTCTACACATTGCGACAATGTAAAGTATGACGTACTTCTACACATTGCGACAATGTAATGTATAACGTACTTCTACACATTGCCACAATGTAAAGGATAACATACTTCTACACATTGCGACAATGTAAAGAATTACGTTCTTCTACACATTGCGACAATGTTTAGTATTACGTACTTCTACACATTGCGACAATGTAAAGTATAACGTACTTCTACACATTGCGACAATGTAAAGTATTACGTTCTTCTACACATTGCGACAATGTTTAGTATTACGTACTTCTACACATTGCGACAATGTAAAGTATAACGTACTTCTGCACATTGCGACAATTTATAGTATAAAGTTCTTCTACATGTGAAGTATAACGTACTTCTACTAAATATACAGTTATTGTATTAGGGGAAACCCAATGATATTACTTTGAATATTAAAAAAAGCATCAAGCGAGAATCCTATGATGAAAGCATTATTATCAACCAAGCACTGAAAAGTGAGGTTTTCCACTGCCAATTGTTTCCATAGTCCACATATGTAAGTGGCTAGTCAGAAGAAAGGTTGTATTTCACCTTTTCATAATCAAGATAAATGCGTCGTTTTGGATTGGACTATCCAATTTTATCATCAGAATATGTATTAAATTTCCCTCAAAAAGCTTAGGTTGGTAGTCGGAGTATATCATGCACCACATAGTGGACAGTACGGAACGGCCTGGCATCCATACGTATATAAAGTAAGGGTTAGGGTTAGGTGGACAATACGGAACGGCCTGGCATCCATACGTATATAAAGTAAGGGTTAACCCTAACCCTAACCATACGTATATAAAGTAAGGGTTAACCCTAACCCTATCCATATGTATATAAAGTAAGGGTTAGGGTTAGGTGGACAGTACGGAATGGCCTGGCATCCATACGTATATAAGGTAAGAAAAGAATGAGGTTAGAGTTAAGTCAAATATCAGTCACTATCATAAAAATACTGATCATAGTACTTGCTTCGTTTAAAATTCTGACAAGGATAAATACCCCACTTTGTGTAATGTTCGTCTCCTTCAACGAATTGTCTTTTCATGATTTCACACCTCATGCATTTACAACTGTCTCTCCACTTTTTCCGTGTACTTCTACGCCCTATTTGATCCTTTTCTAACTTTTGTCTTGTCCTTGCACTGTTTACTACGTTTTCACGTGATAAAAGTTTCCTATCTGCCCCAGGTTTTGAATGAGGTGTACCCTCATCTTCCTCCTGTAAATTGCTAAGGTTAAACTGATATATACCCGACTGTTCGAGGTGTTGGCCGTCATCCTCTTTCTCTATTTCGTCAGTCCGTCGGCTCAGTTTTTTCGTATGAGCGAATTTTTCGAATCTGTGTTTGGTTGCCGCCGCTACACTCGCTTTAGTGTCCTGTGGTACCGACGTCGCTATGTTCGGAAGAGACTTCGATAACGCGGCGTTCAATTGTGATTCTCGATACCCTTTATCCGAGTCCTGCAATTAGAAATGAGCCAATCATAATAAAGTATATGACTTATGCTTATGATACAAATTTTATTATGAAATGTTCTTTATACCGCATTTACGAACATAAACCATTATCCTACGTAAAACAGAAAAATAAAATCATTATTTATCACGATTTTTATCACTGCATATAAATAGTGAGAGAACATTGATAAGTACTGACTTTATTGTTTTACTATGTTAAAGATATTGTAAACATTTACATCTGAATATTTTAAACACATGCATAATACGAGAGTTTGTCTCCTTTGAAATAGTTTAATAAAAACATCTTTTTTATAAGCTTACAAAAACATAAAGAGAGAAAACGCTTACGACTTATGGGATAATATTGCATTAGCGACATTAAGGATCAAATGTGGTATGAATTGTTCAATATGAGAAATAACGGATCAAATGTGTTAAATAACAATCAGTTTTTTGTTGCTGATATAAAATTGACAAGTGGTATTGTTGTTTTATTGACTTATTACTTAACCACAACGTATGTAATATAGGTCTAGATATGTCACCAAACACGAAGACCGATACAGAAACAGCACTTAAAGCTTCAGAAAACTCGTCATCAGGGCAATGAAAATAAAGACCTATCGTCTAAACTAAAACCTACATCATACATTAAAACGAATATATAGACCTATCGTCTAAACTAAAACCTACATCATACATTAAAACGAATTCATAGACCTATCGTCTAAACTAAAACCTACATCATACATTAAAACGAATCTATAGACCTATCGTCTAAACTAAAACCTACATCATACAGTAAAACGAATATATAGACCTATCGTCTACAGTAAATACTACATTATACAGGACAACGAATATATGGACCTATCGTCTAAAGTAAATACTACATCATACAGGACAATGAATATGTGGACCTATTGCCTAAAGTAAATATTACATCATACAGGACAATGAATATGTGGACCTATCGTCTAAAGTAAATTCTACATCATACAGGACAATGAATATGTGGACCTCTTGCCTAAAGTAAATATCACATCATACAGGACAATGAATATATGGGCCTATCGTCTAAAGTAAATACTACTTCATACAGGACAATGAATATATGGGCCTATCGTCTAAAGTAAATACTACTTCATACAGGACAATGAATATATGGGCCTATCGTCTAAAGTAAATACTACAATATACAGGACAACGAATATATTGACCTATCGTCTAAAGAAAATACTACAATATACAGGACAATGAATATGTGGACCTCTTGCCTAAAGTAAATATCACATCATACAGGACAATGAATATATGGACCTATCGTCTAAAGTAAATTCTACATCATACAGGACAATGAATATATGGACCTATCGTCTAAAGTAAATACTACATCATACAGGATAACTAATAGATTGACCAATTGCCTAAAGTAAATACTACAATATACAGGACAACGAATATATTGACCTAAAGTCTAAAGTAAATACTACATCATACAGGACAATGAATATATGGACCTATCGTCTAAAGTAAATACTACAATATACAGGACAACAAATATATATGGACCTATTGTCTAAAGTAAACACTACAATTTAAGGACAACGAATATATTACCTATCGTCTAAAGTAAATACTACATCATACACTACAATCAAGATATGGACCTATCGTCTAAAGTAAATACTACATCATACAGGACAACGAATATATGGACCTATCCTCTAATGAAATACTACATCATGCAGGACAACGAATACATGGACCTATTGTCTAAAGTAAATACTACATTATACAGGACAACGAATATATGAACCTATCGTCTAAAGTAAATACTACATCATACAGGACAACGAATATATGGGCATATCGTCTACAGTAAATACTACATCATACAGGACAACGAATATATAGACCTATCGTCTACAGTAAATACTACATTATACAGGACAACGAATATATGGACCTATTGTCTAAAGTAAATACTACATCATACAGGACAACGAATATATGGACATATCGTCTAAAGTAAATACTATATCATACAGGACAACGAATATATAGACCTATCGTCTACAGTTAATACTACATTATACAGGACAACGAATATATGGACCTATCGTCTAAAGTAAATACTACATCATACAGGACAACGAATGTATGGACATATCGTCTAAAGTAAATACTACATCATACAGGACAATGAATATATAGACCTATTGCCTAAAGTAAATACTACATCATACAGGACATTGAATATATGAACCTATCGTCTAAAGTAAATACTACATCATACAGGACAATGAATATATGGACCTATTGCCTAAAGTAAATACTACATCATACAGGACATTGAATATATGAACCTATCGTCTAAAGTAAATACTACATCATACAGGACAACGAATATATGGACCTATCGTCTAAAGTAAAAACTACATCATACAGGACAATGAATATATGGACCTATTGTCTAAAGTAAATACTACAATATACAGGACAACGAATATATAGACCTATCGTCTAAAGTAAATACTACATCATACAGGACAATGAAGATATGGAACTAGCATCTACAGAAAATACTACAGAATACGGTTGAAGTTTTTTTTTTACATTTTGTTTAGAAAAAGTGTAGTCCAGCCCAAACTAGGGAACTTTCCCAATGGAAAGGAAAGGTCCATATGTTTCAGGAATCAAGTTCTGTCGAATCCCTTCGAGACCTAGCACTGCCATTTATTAAGAGTATGGGACTAACTAGGAAAATAAATAGGTTTAGAATTACTAATCTACAACTAGTAGATTATCTTTCAGGAAAGTTAATGGCTGTCTACCACTACCAGCTTCATAGAGTAAGCAATCAAACAAAGATATTAATGAAGGTTAAAACTACTGAGAGCAAATTATCTGACACCAAAAATAATTTTAATCTACTACTACCAACTACATAAAGTAAAATGTTATCTGTACCAGTTGACCGCACCGCCATCTGGCAAAGTGAATCAGCACCTATAGCCAGAACAGCAAAACAAACGGGGTTTTTTTATTTGAAGAAATTAAAGAAATTTTCACGCCATCTAATAATAAGATTGTAAAGAATCACTTAAGTCTGAAACTCGGTATTTGTTGAAACATACAGAGCAAATGACAAGGATGTACAAAATGACAAAAAGGAACTTACTCCTATTACTTTTAGATATGACTTCGTAATACTCTATGTATGAATTTTTACCAATAATAATAAATATTTGGGGGGAAACATCACCGTCTTACTTGTATGTTGACTTTCTTTGAGCCACTTCCAGTAGTTTTGATGCTAGCGCCCCCTGTCGTCCCATTGGTTGCCGTGGTGATGACACTAGACGTTGATATTGATGGTAGTTTCATACTTTCCATTGTCAGAGACCGTGCTATGCCGACAACAGCATTCTTCTGCGGCCTCTGTTGACAAAATAATTAAACAGTTATAGGATAGGGATCTCAACTGCTTCAAATACCAAAGGGTGAGGCAGGATCTTAGGTCTAGTCCTAGAAGCTATGACGTAGTCATCTCTTTATGACCACTAATTGTATATTAGGTGAGAGGGTGGTGATCTGAACTGGCTCTATGTAAGGACCCAAAAAGGAAGTATCCAAGAGTGGAGATCCCTGGCGCAATCATGGTAGAACCAGTGAATTTGTCTCTTCATGCCTAGGAATTCTATGTGGTTATAGGGAGGGAATATAAATGTTTCAATGTTGTGACCTAAGGAGTAGGTCAAGGTCATTTTATTTTGCAAACTTTGTCGGGCTCAGTCTAACGAATATTTAATTTTTGTTTTAAAAAACTCCTATTTTTTGATGCTGTGTACAGCAATCATAGCGGTCCTCGCAAAGCCTTGGCAATCAAAACCAAACAACAGACTTTCTTCTTCCGCGGAAGATCTTTAAATGCTGTGTGATTATTTCATGGTATGATTAATGCTATAAAATGATGAAATACATATGAAAACGATCAATAAATCAAAGAAAAATTGTTAAAAAAAATTACGAAAAAGCGAGTTTTTTCAGTGAGCATCATGAACAATATCAATCTTAGATTACTACGCTTTTTGGACCGAATGATTTCTTCACAAAAAAAAATAAAAAAATTATCTCCTTCCGCGAAATATCTTTAGATAATGTGTTCATTATTTTATGATATGATCAATGCTATCATATGGGAAAATATATCTGTATTAGACAAAAAAAATCATAGAAAATATGTAAAGATCTTTAACGGTGACGTTTTTAATCAGTGAAAGTTCAGAACTATATTTGGTTCAAATAACTACGCCTCGTATAAAGTGTGTGTGTAAGAGTTTTCCCCCCTTGTCCATCATTGCGTAGTTTCATGCTCGCAACTTGTTGAACGACTGTTTGATAACTGTACGTCCTTGATAAAGTAGGCTTCGTGTTTTTTTGTCTCAATAGAAAGTCTCTAAGTGAAAGAGAATGTTGACTTATACTAAAGTAGCCGTCAGCAGCTGTGCCTAACGAGTTTATAGATAGCTTCCCAATGCGACAGCAGATGTGCCTAACGAGTTTGCCGAAATCAAGAAACTGTTGTTCCGTTATTTTATATTTTCAAAAATGTCCGTGGTCATCCATGGCTCTGTTCTTTCTATAAGTCGAATTTATTTTACTGTTGCCACACTGTCTCTGAAGTCTAAGAGAAGAATCTCTGAAGATATCCTGAAAAACTTAACATCATCCATTGACATTAAAGCATCTCTCCCAAGGTCCATAAATTAGTCTAGAAAGAAGACATTCTCTGCAATATATGTTTTTATCTTCATGAAAATGTGGTGAATTAATAGCGGTGCAAAGAGATTTTCCAGTAAAAAAAGTTGAGAGAGGGTAGCTTTGACCACCAGGTGAGACTCCTGATTGACAATCGGTTTTCTTTGGTGCAGAAAAAATGTGATCAATAAGGGAACCGGTAGTATCTGTTATTCGTGAAGCTGGAGATATAATGTGTCCAAGGATAAATCATTTTAAAATACAGCATTGTCGCACGATTTACACATCGTACTCTTCTGGTCTAGGTAGCAGATATTCGAATGACCCAATGTATTTTCGTCTGATGGGGTGAACGGTAGGTCTTCCCTAATAGAGCTCGGATTAGAAAGTTTAAATAACACATTGCGAAGGGCAAATTTCTATTAAATCTAAAACACACACATTATTCATTCAAAAGTCTAGGTAGCAGATATTCGAATGACCCAATGTATTTTCGTCTGATGGGGTGAATGGTAGGTCTTCCTTAAGAGAGCTCGGATTAGAACGTTTAAATAACACATTGCGAAGGGCAAATTTCTATTTAATCTAAAACACACACATTATTCATTCAAAAGTCTAGGTAGCAGATATTCGAATGACCCAATGTATTTTCGTCTGATGGGGTGAATGGTAGGTCTTCCTTAAGAGAGCTCGGATTAGAACGTTTAAATAACACATTGCGAAGGGCAAATTTCTATTTAATCTAAAACACACAAATTATTCATTCAAAAATTCATTATTTGAAAAAAAGTCAGCTATGGGTGACGTAAATGAAAGTAAAGTCACTTTACGAATTGAAATTAATTATCTCGGCCAAAATGACAATTAGGAACAATTTTGATAGGGATCGTTTTTTTTCGGTAAAAAAAAAAAAAAAAAAAAAAAAAAAAAAAAAAAGAGAGAAAGCGCTGTTATTTAACTTCATCAAATTAATCGGGTGATGAAAGGAATAGTTCAAAACGATTTAGGATGCTTTCCGAAAGTGTGGTGTTCTCTAAAAGGAATACGGTTGTTAGTAAGTTTCTGCTCGCTGTCTTTTTCGATGAGTAGAAACATTCTTAAAAGTATTACCACGGTAGGGAAATGTTTCTGATAGGAACCACATCGAAGACATTCCGTCACGTGAAAAAAGATGACACGAAACATGCCGACAATGCATTTGCTATAATTTCTAATTAAAGCTATATAGTTGCAGACTCAACCCTTGGTCGGTTCCTATCTCTCCTGTTAACGATTACAATTTAAATCTACTTAGGTATTGGTAGTTGAATCGTCAAGCCAAGTTTATTGACATTATAGCGGCTTTTTTGTTTTTGGCTAGCTTTTGGAGTTCGGGTGTTAGCGGCAGAACATTCAAATGCAGAAAATGTAAACCTTTTTGTTTGAAACATTTGAAATGTATTGAAGGTATCTGTGGTTTGAGGAGAACAGTTGTTTTGGTTATTTCTATGTCTCCTATTATATTATCTGATTGATCAGCATTAGTGTGATAGGTTTTGGTTTTATTTTGTTTAACGTCCTATTAAGAACTAAGGTAATTTAATGACGTGCTCCGTGTGTGTAATGCATCCGTGCTTGTGTGTATGTTTGTTTGAGGCAGGGTATGTTAATGTCATAGCCTCCTTTAGATAGCGTGGATTTAATGCCGACTTTATAGTGCTACTCACTGGAATATTATGCCAAATGCACCAAGCACAGCATCCGGCCTGGTCACATAATAATGACACCGGGTGAACCAGTTGTTGTGATAAACCTAAATATGAACGGTAAGCAGAGAATAATAACTACAATTCTGGTATGTCCCGGCCTGGGGACAGAACTCATTGCCTTCCTTCCCTGAGGGAACGTTCAAAAAGTGAGGTATTGCCAAGCAAGGCGCTAAAAATCAAAGTAGTTAGAAGCAAACAGAAAAGTAAGGATCCCAAATACTGTAATCGATGCAGCAGATATATCTTCCCCCAAGTAGATGGCACAAAAACAAACCCACAAATTTGTTTTTCTAAAACGCGTCAGGAATTTTGACCTGATTCTGATGAAATTTGGTCATTATTTATACTATACAATGAAGAAGGCTAAGTTAAAAAATGAGCAAATTCTGCACATAAATCATAAGCATACTGTTATCTGATTGGTCAACAGTTTCCGCACAATATTTTGTCAAATTTGAAAGGATTCTGGTGAGATTTGGTCAATATTTACATTTTGTTTAATAGCGAAATATGCCATTAAATAAAAAATAGAAATACCTTAGATTTTTATGGTGTAAGATGAATCGATTATTGGCAAAGGGGGGCAATTTCTATTTATATTATCGTGGTTTGTTATATATACAAAGGAAGACAATTTCTAAAAAAATCAATTTTTAAACGTTATAAATGATATATGGAAAGTATAAATTCTTCAGCTTAAGTTGGTCAACTACAATATATTTTCTCCTTTCTCCACACCCAGAAATAGTTCTTACTTGAATGAGTAAAACAGTACAACTGTTATTTCCTCTCTTTACATTGACATATTGTCATACGTTTAGGTTCAATAATGCATCAGAAGTATTTAAAGTATGTCCGATTGGCATGGGACCTTTAAAATACTAGCTGTTTCCTACTATACCAATCCCTAGCAGAGGCATGAGAAACAACGGGCGTATAGTGTTTTAATGTAGTTGCTACATGTACCGAAAACATAATACTTGGTATTTGTGTTAGTGATAACCGTTGTAAGTATTATATTTGTGTTAGTGCTAACCGTTGTTAGTATTATATTTGTGTTAGTGCTAACCGTTGTTAGTATTGTATTTGTGTTAGTGATAACCATTGTTAGTATTGGTTAATAACAAGAGTTCAATTGCATCTTTATTTTATCTAGCATCCAAATTTCTCTCGAGTGAGGCTGTTTACGACATGGGGAAGTACATATTTCAGTGTAGATACCATTAAACAATGATATTACAAAAACAAACCAAAAATGATATTTAATTACATTGTATTTGTTATTCTTTTTCATAACACATATTTCTGTATTTTGTAGTGAAAAAACTCTTTTTGAAAGGACATGAATGCCAAGCACCCATCCAGATAACCTTGTCTTGGGGATACTATAATTTCTTATAACAAACCACCAACTTACCGTACTGACAACTGCGCGATATCTAACAACATGAAGAGAAAAGCCGGTAACTCGTGGTAGCTAATAAGATATTTGCATAACCCCTAGCAGGTTATTTATGTCAAGTACTTAAAGTGGGTTTAGGGAAATATAAACTGATTTTAAAGTTTGTTTTACTTTTATATTCAACTTCAGCTAATTTCTAAATGAGGGCATGTTTTACTTCACGTACCATTACAAAAGTAATCAGTTATGCATAAAAACTGAAGTCGGTAATACAAGGTCAACTGTATAATTAAGTCTGCCATAGAAACAGTAGTCGGTAATACAAGGTCAAATCTATAATTTAGTCTGCCATAGAAACAGAAGTTGGTAATACAAGGCCAAAAATATAATTTAGTCTGTCATAGAAACAGAAGTCGGTAATACAAGGTCAAAACTAAAAATAAGTTTGCCTTTGAAACAGAAATCTGTTAATTAAGGTCAAATCTATAATTTAGTCTGCCTTAGAAACAGAAATCTGTTATACAAGGTCA